ATGATGAAGCTACAGTATAATTTAATCCTTAGCGGTCACTTAAGGATATATATTAGAGATGAAGAAGTATATATAATAATCAGTTAGTTCTCTTTTCATCGGTAAAAAAAGAGAAAAAGAAATAAGCTTCTTAATTTCATGATCACTAATAATTCCTTCTACCACTCTTATCGGCTTCTCTGATTGAAATCTATAAATGGAAGCATATAATAATTAGCATATTAATTGCTTCAAGCTCTTTGAACTATTCAAATCAAATATCCACCAATCGAATCTTTCTGCGGCTTTTCTTTATCCTAAAATAAGTGCTGTTATTAAAAGAAAAAAAGAAAGCAATTAGATTATTAAGGTGCTTGATGATTATCAACTTGCTAGAAATTTGCATAAATCTTGTATTTAAGAATTAAGAGGAAATGTAAAAATGATGTTAAAGAATGTATAAAGAAAGATACGGTATAAGAATAATCTCAAAGAAATTATCGTTTTTTAAATTAAAATAATTTTTGTATTTTTTATACATAGCTGAAACATACATTGCAAATTAATATCAGATGTATTATTATATGAATTAAAATTAATTATGCTAAAAATTTAATTACTGCCACATTTCTTTGGGAATTTTTGAAAGTTTTAAATTATTTTAATATCTAAAAAATGAAAAAGCTATGAGAATAAATGTATTTTTATTTGAAATGAAAAAAAATTTATGAAATATCAAAAAAAGATCACAAAATCTTTATTATCAAAGTTTTTCAGTAAGTATTGGCATAATTCCATTGAATGTGTTATTTTGGCCAATTTTTAGGTCATAGGGCTGCTATATGCAAAAGAAATTTGATGTTGACAGTTGAAAAAAAAATTGTCAGTTCAGTTCATTGATCCACCTGTTATAATCTTATTTATTGCATTCAAAAATTCTATTAAAATTATGAAATGAGACGATATATTTTCCATGGCATTGACCTAATACATTCCGAAATATCGAAAGTATTGCAATTATAATTCATCAATTGACGACGATACGATACGATCACAGAGTTGTTGACAATTTTATTTAAATTTATATATTGAAAAGGAAATGGTGACATATAAGGAATTCGCTAATAAGCAAATGAATGAATGATAAAGTAATGCATTTAATTAGATTATAATTAAATTAAACATGATAAATAAAGGAAACAGAAGAAATTGCACATTTTTTAATATCTCACGAAATACAATTTAGATATCGTTACCGTAGACCGGAAATGAGGAATGCTGAAATTCGAAAGATTGTTTTCGAAAAGAGAACAGGCATTGAATTATTATCTATTTGAAGTAATTAAGATAAGAGTGAAAGTTTGACTGATTGGTCTAAAGAATTGCAGGCTTTCGGAAGAGTTTAGAGAAGATTAAAACATTTTTCTTATGAATGAAAGAATACAAATCGATCGAAGTTCTGTAATGCCTCAAATATTAACAACGATTGATTAAAAATGGATGTCTATCTTAATGTTTTATCTTAATGAATGATAATATAAGAGAAAAAATATTTAAAATTTAGTAAAAAGAAAAATGCCTAAAATGAATTTTTGATGAATATTTACAACATGCCTTTCTTTCTTCATAAAAAAAATGGAATAAAAATCCAATTAATAATGGTCAAATTGTTTGATTGCATAACATGAAATGACTGTTGCACTTCGGCAGTTTTGAATGTTGCATTACCGCGGCGTCAAAAACAATGTTCTGAGATCATCTCCCGCAGTGCGAATCACGCAATGGAATGTGCAGGTAAGAATTAAGGACATGTTGAGCGGCATTCGAAAATCAATCGGAAGATAGTGAAAAGATCACCGCACTAAGATTGAAACAATAGAGTCAAATGAGCATTAAAATGGTTATTACATAATTATAACCTAAGCAGTCAAAAAATTTTTGGTTGAGTTAGTTTTCTACAAAGACATTTTTATACTCCCAAAAAATTAGATCATTCTTTTATCTTAACCTAACCACTAAAATAGATTTAGGGTCGCTTTGAATATATTTCGGATTGAAGCGTTTGTATTAAATATACGATCACATCCTCAGCAAAATTAAATTCGACGTTACTAATGCTTGAATGAACCTTGAAAATAAAATGATATAAAACTTGAGAATGTTTTAGTACCATTCGCTTAATGTAACAAAATGGAAAATGAAGGGTTAAAAAGGGAAAACGAAAAAAACACATAACGAAATTTACGGTAAATTTTCAATTACAAACACAAGAGAGTTTCTGAAATACTCATAATACTTAAAGAGATTCTTACTGGAATCTGATGAGCTTACAGAATGTTGATTTGATTAAGCAAATAAACTGAAAAGTTTTTTCAGATTATCTGGGATACCAAGATACACGAGAGCTGAAAGAGAAGGTCATATGAAATGGTTTATCCACTTGAAATAATGAATTATCATTTTCNTGAAATAGAAATCTTTTTTTTAAGATTTGATTTTTTAATGCTATGTCTAGATTGATTGGAATGAATGGTTCGATTAATCAGAAGATACTTCATCAGATCATCCTCGCTATGAGATATATATTCAATAGGATGAAAGGAGAGAATCTCTGAGGCCAACTATCGCCAACTCAAAAATGTGGCTTAATTCACATAGCGAACTGCAGGCATTGTTTAGGCCTTAACAGATGTGTATTTAATAAATTGAAACGAGAATGTCTTTGTATGTGAAAGAATGTCAAAAATGAAAATATTACTTTCTACAAGCAATTTCATATTTCTTTTTCTGATTAATTCTATTTTGCGGTCATTGTAAATGGCGCTTTTTGTATTTTCAAGTGTACGTATTGACCACGTAGATCACGCATCTTTTTATACCATTATTACCAGTCAATGAGAAAAAAATTAATAAGAATATCTCAAGCATACGTACGTATTATAGCATACATACGTATGCTACGTATTATAGCATACGTAGCATACGTACGTATATGCATATAATTCTGATCGTTTTCATTATGGAAAAGTTTTCTCTTTGAGCTTCATCGATAAAATAGCAAAGAATAGATTGGATGCATATATGTACTAGTTGAAAAGTATGATCGATTTTCTTTCTTCTTTACTGAATTAGTTTATGGCAGTTTGTTCGCTTTTTGTAAAGTAACAAATTTCAAGATAAGTTTCTCATAGAAGTAGGAAAAGTTATAATGAATGTTATAGAGACGATCAATCTGTAACCTTCACAGTACACAATTACGCCATATAAAGAAATGAGTAACTTCACATATTATTATAAACAAATATGAGTAATTCTTTCATTAATGATTACTGTTATCACATTTAAATTTCACTTCAAAAATTTTTATGTGACAGAGCAGGAAAGAGACAAGAAATAGTATGTAGAAGAGAAGAAAAATAACTGATTGTAAAACTAGCGCGCGAAACCACTCAATGCTGCTTGAAAGAAAAATCATATATTAACATCGGATTAGGATGTGGTGATCTTGGGTTAAGCATGATTCATATTTTGTCCAGTTGGTCCGCCCTGGCGGGCCGAAGTGGTCAGCAGAAATTGCTGTGGGCGTGGAGTGCATGAAGCAGGTCGTGGGAGTTTTCAGGTAAGTTGAGCGGTAGTGTTCAGTGGGAATATTTGACAAGTGATCAGTGTAGATAGGTGTTATGTAATTCCATGTCATCATTGTATATTTTTGTTAATCAGTTAGTTGATTAACCTTTCGTAATTGGGAAATTATGTGAAAATTATGCTGATGTGTCGTCTACAATAATAAAGTCTGGAGAAATTTAGACTAAAGTATCGCGTACAGTAAAATAGTGGAAAATTATGTGCTAAAAACAATGAGTTGTTCATATGGTTTTTTTCTAACGCGATTTCAATACAGTTGCTGACCAACAGAAGACGACCAATATCTTCCTCACATCGTTTGATTAGATCAGATTTGTCCATAAACTTTTCAAGAAATTATTTTGTGAATATTCATTTCTGTTGTATGGGTTTTGAATAAAAGTGTTTGCTAAAGAAAATTAATTATTGTTTGTCCCTATGAAAAGAAACCAAAGTCTTTTTGGACAGTGTCTATTACGAATATACAAATCGATCTCAAAGTGATCGTTGTACTATGCAGTATGTCTTAAAAATTTTTGTTAGCGATGAAAGGATGTCATAAGTATAAATTTAATGCTTATTCCAGTTTAATTCCACTGTCATTTGAAAATGTGGTTTTCGTTGTATTTGAGACATTTCTCGATGGCATGACTTCATTCTTTCTTCTTGTTTTTATACTTTTTACTACGGAAGAGGTCGTATGACATATAAGCATAAGTGTGACGTGTAAGCATAATTGACGTAATATCGTGTAAGCATAGTTTTACCTTACTTCGAAGCATTTTTCTAGGCTATTTAATGGGTATATGTGCTTTGCTGTTAGCTCCATTAAACAACAGTGATTTTTGTTGTACTGGATACTTTTATTTTCAGGAGGTTTCAGGAGGTTGGATATTTTTTCTTTGCATTTCGAAGTTATTGCATGATAAACAAATGTTAGTTTGCTAAGGATTATCTCAAATGTCTGAAATCAGCGGCATTGGTCTGTATCTATTGTTAGAACTATTTATTTCAACAGCTGCTGTTGAATTACATTTCCACTTCGGTTGTTGTTGTTTGTTGAAACATGAGGTATTCACAGTAAACAAGCGAAGGAAAGAAGTGCATTATATTTATTATATTTAAAAAAAGAAGTGCATACTATTTATTATATTTTAAAAACAACTAACTTCAAAGGTATGAGACATGTAATGGAGATTGAAACTAACTACAAATGATCAAAAAAATGGTTGTTGATGTGAATCAAAATTTAAAAGTAAAAGTAGCTAGAATAAACTTAAAGGATAAAAATGAGATTACTTCAATTTTGGTTAGAACGATGCAAAAATATATCATGTGCGCATACAAACTCAAGCAATAAACATCAGTTTGTTTTTCGTTTTTTGGTTTGAATCGTTTCAGTAGATCGCTACACAGAAACGTGGTGTTTGTGGTGCTTCAACTGGTTCCAGAGTTGTCGCCGCGACAGTTGTAGCTTCCGGTTCTTGCGTAGGAGACTCATTACGTGTATTTGTGAATAAACTCAGAAGACCTTTGTTGTCACCGAATAGTTTATCCATTTGCTAAAAAACGTGTACAACTCAAATGCCGAATTGTATTTGCTTTAACACTTCTCAAGAGAATAAAACAGCTCTATATAAAGGAACATCATGCGAAATTAGATATAGAGGTCTCTCTAATTTAAACTTGAAATGCAATCGTTTATTACCTGTTGAATGGAGGAAGAGAGATGTTTCTGATAAGTTGTCATTTTGCTATCG